AGAATAGAATAGAATAGAATAGAATTCTTTATTGGCCAACTGTGATTGGACACACAAGGAATATTATTCATAATGGAATATTATAATTTATTATATTATATAATTTATCAAGGAATATTATTTATAAAGAAAGCAACACAAATGATTTGTCCTTCTCCACTTCCTGAGATGCACCCCGACTTCTCGGCTGACTTTTTGTTTTCGTTTCTTCACCCAGAGTCCTGCGAAGGGGTGGACTGTGGAGCAGGCAAGGTTTGCAAAATGAAGCACAGGCGCCCGCAGTGCGTCTGTGCTCCAGATTGCTCCAACCTTCCCAGGAAGCTTCAAGTATGCGGCTCCAACGGCTTCACCTACCAAGATGAATGTGAGCTTCTCATGGCCAAATGCAAAGGGCAGCCTGACTTGGAGGTCATGTACCAAGGACAATGCAAAAGTGAGTGGTGCCTCTCTTCTACGGGTGTTTCTGATCTCCAGGCGGGGATCGCGAACTGTGGAGTCCTTGGTGGCCTCGGAGCTTGGTGGTTGCCTGGCAGAGCATCACTGATGACGTTACCTAGTTGGGTAATGAAACGAATACAGGTAGTCCTCGACTTACGACCACAACTGAGCCCAAAGTTTCTGTTGCTAAATGAGACTGTTGTTAAGTGAATTTTGCCCCCTTTTTCAACCTTCCTTGCCTCGGGGGTTAAGTGAATCACTGCAGATGTTAAGTTAGCAACACGGTCGGGGTGGGATTCAAATTTCTTAACAACCGGTTCTGTGGGTGTGGCCTAATTTGTGGGTGTGGCTTGGTCATGTGACTGGGTGGGCACGGCTTGTATGTAAATATTATAAATATGTATGTAAATATTGATTTTTTTTATAAAAAAAGAGCAACTTTTACCAAAAGCACACAAAGCAGGCAGGCAGATTGAGTTGCTCACAGAATTACAGATTCGCTTAGAGATCTATCTTTCTGCCATCGGCTATCTGAGTCTGTCACATAAAATTTGCTTGCAAGCAAACTCACAAAATTAACTCATAACACACACCAAGTATGTAAATATTGACTTTATTAAAAAAGAGAAACTTTTACCTAAAAGCAGGCAAAGCAGGCAGGCAGATTGAGTTGCTCACAGTATCACAGATTGACTTTGAGATCTATCAATGTCCAATCGGCTACCTGAGTCTGCACTGGAAAGTAGAAGCTTCAGCCCTAAGGAAGGTTTGGCTCTGCTTTTAGATTAGCTAGAAAGCAAGAAATCCAAGGATTTCTTGCTTTCTAGCTAATCTAAATCTCCCGGCAGAGCAGAACAGCTGATGGGGGGGGGGGGGGGAGAATGAAAAATAACAACTTACCAAACCAGGCAAGTTGGATGGCTCACATGCCAGGTAAGGAGTGAGTGGGCGCGGGGAAGGGGAGGGGCCAGCCAGTGGAGCGATTTGCTGGTTCTCCGAACTGCGGACAATCATACCATGCGTTTGTGCAGTGTTTGCAAGAACTCATCAGCTGTGCTGCTTGGACAGCTGACAAGTGCTGCGCTCCGGTGCACAGGGTTTGAAAATCCTCTTGTTTCCTGCTTTTTCAACCTCAGCTGTGCCGCGCAAAGCAGCTGAGGAGGGAAAAGCAGGGAATAAAGGACAGCCTAGAGCCCGGGCAGGCGGGTGGGCCAAACCCCAAATCGGTTCGGTGTCAGCTGCTCTTCGCAGATACCGGTTCTATAGAACCGTGCTGAACTGGTAGCATTCCACCCTTGAGCACGGTTGTTAAGTGAATCTGGCATTGCAACCATCATAAATATGAGTAAGTTGCCAAACGTCTGAATTTTGATCGTAGAATAGAGTAGAATAGAATGGAATGGAATGGAGTAGTGTAGCAATAGAATGGCATGGCATGGCACCTCCAATATATCCTGCAAAACCATGATTAGCATGCATGCATGCATGCATAAATAAATAAATAATAAAGACAAAATTATGTGTATTCCCACATATATTATATGACACAGAGAAACATGTACATGGCGAGAAAAATGAATCTTGCGAGTTTACCAGGCAGATGGCATAGGGAATGTTGACCTCATCAGAAATGTTATTATTTTATTGATTTATTTCTATTTATATGGCCTCTCATCCCGATACCCTGACTCTGGTCTTCCTTCTATTGTGTTCCATAGGAATGGAAGGGACTTCCATTTCAAGAGAAAGTCTACCTCCCGAGGTTAATCTCAATGTCTTTTTTTGAAACAGAATCTTGCTCCAGCGTGGTCTGCCCTGGGACCCACACCTGCGTGGTGGACCAGACTGGGAGTGCCCATTGTGTGATGTGTCGCGTTGAACCCTGTCCAGACCCCACCAGCCTAGACCGCTCAATCTGTGGAAACAACAATGTGACCTACCCTTCTACCTGCCACCTACGGCGAGCCACCTGCTACTTTGGTCAATCCATAGGGGTCCGGCGTTACGGAAGGTGTACATGTAAGTCTGGCTTCGATGAGGGAAACCAAGCAAGGCATTAGCAAGTTAAGTTTGCACCAAAGGACTGGAGATCTTTCACGTGTACCCACTGGGGAGGGGTAAAAAAAGTCAAGATGGCAGCCACCGCGGTCTAATAGAAACCCCGCCCCTTTTTAAACATGAGCTATGATTTGATTGTGTGGTGGCGACTACCATCTTGATTTGGGGGGGAGGGGGGGTGCTCCCAGGAGAAACTCCTTCAGCAGTTCAAAATTACTTCTGGATTTGCATCCCAATGTCAAAAAACCATGATTGTCCCAAATCTGGATATCTTTTTTTACTCAAAACTGGGGAGCACCCCTTGAATTTTAAATTTAGGTGGAACAATTATGGGAAACAAATATATTTTCCAGGCAAGATTTAAGGACAATGGTCCATTGCTCTCAGCACCAATAGGCCTGCACCAAAGAAGCATTAGCTGGCTTATTTTGGGAACAAAATAGATATCCCACTGTAAAACAAGGAGTTCTGTCTGAGGCCTCAAAATGTAACCATACAAAAACCATCTAAAAATGTTCAGTTTAATATAGCATTTCTCAACCTCCACATCTGTAAGATATGTGGACTTCAACTCCCAGAATTCTCCAGCCAGCAGTGCAGATTGGGGAATTCTGGGAGTAAAAGTCCAAGTCCAACTAAAGTTGCAGAGGTTGAAAAACACTTAAGCAAGTCTTTCTCAACCTTTGCAACTTTAGCTGGACTGGGACTTCAACTCCCAGAATTACCCAATCTGCATTGTATTAGTTTGACAGGAAGAAGGGCAAAAAGAATTGGTAGCACTGAACTTAATTCGGTTCACTGCCTTCAGGGAAGATCATGGAGAGGGGTGTAGAAAAAATTAAAATGGAATCCGCAATGCAGGAGCAAAAACAACATACAAATTGAATGATTAAATGGATGTCAACTTTGCATGTTGATGGCTGCCACCTTGGCTTTTTTGACGTACCCTTCATTTATTTATTTGTTTATTTCAGTGGTGGGATTCAAAAAATTTTACTACCAGTTCTGTGGGTGTGGCTTGGTGGGTGTGGCAGTTGAAGGATACTGTAAAATCTCCAGTCAGAGGTGGGATTTGCCGGTTCTCCGGACTACTCAAGATTTCCGCTACCGGTTCTCCAGAACTGGTCAGAACCTGCTGAATACCAGCTCTGGTTTATTTGTTCAATTCTGATGGCTGCCCAACTCCACCAAGTGACTCCGGGCAGCTTATAATTCTGTATTTCTAAAACTTAAAAACATTAGAACATTAACTTCATCTACAAAATAAATAAAAGAAATGCCCTCAATTCTATTTTAGCTCTGATTTTTCCCATTAGTCTCTTGTAGGCAAAGTAGAGTCCGTGTCAGAAAAAAAAATCAGCAATGCCTCTTTAAAGGGAGGCCTCTTCACAGTGCAGTTCGTTCCAAAGTCAAAGCTAAAATCCAGATTCACTTAACATCTGTGGGCTCAACGGCGGTGATTCGCGTAACAACCGTGGCAAAAAAAAACCTCTTCTAAATTCAGATGTGATTCAATTAAAGACTGTCTTGCTTAGCAAATGGAAATTCTTGTCCCAGTTGCGGTCATTATATCGAAGACTGTCTGTAACGATGCCAGGCATAAAAAAATGACTAGAAAGGACTAATTTGTTCTTTCTTTCCTTCCACAGCTCCAAATAAAAACGCCTTGGACACAGATGATGCTGAAGAAAACTACATTTGAAAATCTATTTTGGGGTGATTTGCCTAATTCCTAATGTTCAGGGGCATTATCTGTAATAATGTGCAGACTGTACATTATATACCTGGTATTTATTAAAAACCAAAAGGAAAATAATCTTATTTATATAAATAGAAATCAGTGTAAGCTAGACATATATGCATTTCAATTCTCGAGTCACAGTTTGTACCAAGGATATCAGGAAAAAGGATCGAAAAAGTCAAGATGGTGGCAAGGACCAAGCAATCATAGCCCCACCCATTTAAAAGGAGGCGTTGCTTTGATCTCTCTGTCACTGCCACCATTTTGAATTTTTTAGTCCTGCTTCTAGTGGATGTGCCTGGTCCCTCCCCAAACCCCTTTCACAAAGATTTTCCTCCAACAGTGGGGAAAGGTTTCTTCCACTGTTCTAAGAAAAATCCATTTTTATCATTTCAAAAGACTGCAAGTTTGCTTCATTCAAAATCAGGCTGATCTTCTCTCTAGAACTCCCTAAAATATTTGATTTGTCCATTTTCTTTACCCTTGTTTTGTCTTGCTGCATATAGCCTCGTTCCCAAAACTCCCAGCCTCCCTCATTGCCTCATTCAACCCTCCTCTAGCCAAACTTTCTGCTTCAACAAGGCTTCAGTAATAGTTTTAATCTGATTTAATTAAATATTCCTTTTGGATTTCTCTGTCTCCTTGAAGATGAACATAACTGGTAGTCCTTGACTTACAACTAGTCATTTAGTGACCAAAGTTATAATGGCACTAAAAAAGTGACTTATGACCAGTTCTCACTCTTATGACCGTTGTAGTATCTCCAGGGTCATACGATCAAAATTCAGGGGTTTGGCAACAATCATGTATTTACAATAACTGCGGCATTCTGGGGTCATGTAAATGCCGTTTGTTACCTTCCCACCCACCTTCTGACAATGGGGGAAACTGGATTCGCTTAACAACAGCACTTAAGAATTTCCATAACAACTGTGGCAAAAAAGGTCAAAAATCAGGTGTGTGACTCGCATAACGTCCATCTTGCATAGCAATGGAAATCTGGTCCCCATTGTGATCATAAGTCAAGGACTACCTCTATATTTTTACACATCTCCACTCAGAAAATTGGAAATCTTATAAATATTCCAAATAACAGGACTTTGTTGTGTAAATAGTGTGTGTGTGTGTGTGTGTGTGTGTGTTGGAATTGGAAGGTATCACGCTGTTGATAGCCAGTTTTCAGTCAATTTTATCTATATATCCATTTTAAATTTGTCATCTGCTTTACTGTGTGTGTTGTAAAATATGTACATAGCCTCCTTTCACTGATCATTTAGAAATATTAGTCTTTTTCTTCATGTGGTTAAAACAGGCAACTTCTCTATTTTTGTGCTTGAGTCCCTGATTTTTTTATTTTTTTTATTTTGTTCCTTCAAGTCAGTCTTGACTCTGCTGACGCCTAGACAAGCCTCTACATTTTCCTTGGAAAGATTTCAGAAATGGTTTGCCATTGCCTCCTACTTAGGGCTGAGTAGAATGACTGGCCCAAGGTTGCGCAACTGGCTTTGTGCCTAAGGCAGGAGTAGAACTTCCTGTCTCCTGGTTTCTAGCCTGGTGCCTCAACAGGTAGATCACACTGGCTATCTGATATGTTTTACACCCCTTCATTTTATGTAGCTCCAGAACAGGGGTGTCCAACTTTGACAACTTTAAGACCTGTGGACTTCAATCCCCAGAATTCCCCAGCCAGCTTAATGACTGCGGGAATTGCTTCACAACCACTGTCAAAAAAAAGTTCATAAAATCAGGTTGGCTGGTCACAATCACAAACGTGCAACCATAATGGGCAGGTTCCATTTGAAGTCTTTACTATACGGAACTTAAACCAAAAAAACCCCACATTTTTCTTTAACAGAAGAACTCTCTTGTCTGTATCAAAAATAGGCCTTTTTGCTGAATTTGAACAATTAAGGGAAGACTAAAGAAATGCCCTTGTCTTGTCTTTTTGTTCTCTTTATTTTCTTTTACGTTTTTGACTGAAGGGGAAAGAACTGAGGTACTCTGCAAACAGGAACGGTTGGCTGACAATCTCCACTTCCCCCAAACTCCAAATGAGATTGTTTTATAACATTCAGGGCAAAACAATTGAAGCCCTAATAAATTTGTTCTTTTCCTTCCTCTGAATTTCTTGTTTGTGCAAAATTATTCAAGGGGGATTTGGATATTGTCCCAACATTGCAATCTACCTGACTTCATGGGAGCTTTTGCTGTGTTTTAATAAATCACCTCCCTATTTTCACCTGTAAAATCCTGATGGTTGCACAATTCAGTTAATGGGAAGTTGAGTCAAGTTTCTCGCTGAAATGCGTAAATGGTAGTGTTGTGGTTTGGGGTTGTTTTGGATCAAGTGTACGAGGAGCTACAACTCTTCTACTAAAGAATTTTGGTGGCCCCTATTTAATTTTTCTCAGAAAAAGCAACAGATGTGTCTTTTACCACATCCAGCTTGACAAAACATCCAGCCGGCAAAAGATTTATGGCTACCATAATTCCTTTCTGAAGCAATTGTCAAATTACTCCAGATGGAATGGTTCTGATTTAACAAAACAGGGAAAAGAGGGGAAAACAGGCTTCATTCAGGCCAAATAAATGGAAGAGGCAGGGAATTTGCTGTGGTCCAGCAGTAGTTACACCTCAAACAGGAGGCAGAAAACAGAAACACTATTTTTGTCCTAGTGAGCAGGAACTTACTAAAAGTTAATTTCTCTTGTGGGAAGTTGCAGCCTTCTGCCTGAAAGTGTTGATTCATTTTGGCTCTTGGATTGATTGTGCCTCTTGCTGCTAGAATAGAATAGAATAGAATAGAATAGAATAGAATAGAATAGGTCGGAAGGGACCTTGGAGGTCTTCTAGTCCAACCCCCTGCTTAGGCAGGAAACCCTACACCACTTCAGGCAAATGGCAAATGGTCGTTTTATCTTTAAAACTTCCAGCGTTGAAGCATTTACAACTTCTGGAAGCAAGCTGTTCCACTCATTATGATTATGAATTATATGAGAACAAATTGTGCAGGCCAGCGCATTGAGAAAAAATATTAAATAAGAATAAAAATTTACAAGTTATATAAAACTCCCATCAAGACCGAATGACAGAGTTGGAAGAGATCTTGGAGGACTTCTAGCTCAAGCAGGAGTCCCTGTTACAAACAGTTGTCCAATCTCTTTTTAAAGACCTCCAGTGATGGAGCATTCACAACTTCTGGAGTCAAGTCGTTCCACTGATTAATTATTCTCACTGACGGGAAATTTCTCCTTAATTCTAGGTTGCTTCTCTCCTTGATTAGTTTCCACCCGTTGCTTCTTGCCCTGTCCTCAGGGGCTTTGGAGAATAGGTTGACCCCCTCTTCTTTGTGGCAGCCCCTCAAATGTTGGAAGACTGCTATCATGTCAGCCCTAGTCCTTCTTTTCATTAAAGCTCTTCAAGGATGAAGCTTCTTCAAGACGTCTTCAAGAATGAGGCATCACCGTTGTAATTTTTATTAGCCTTTTACTGCTTCTTGTATGTGCATTGTACTCGCTTATACCACATTTGCAATTACCTGTGAGGGAGGGAGAGGGGACCTTGAGTCGTTCTTTCAATTTACAAGAGCTGCTTTATTTTTGCTTTATCGCCTGTAAAGCACTTCAAACTCAACCTGGTGATTGTACGAGTGGACACAGCTAATAATAAACTGTCAAAAAGTTTCAAACACTCGATTATCTTTTCAAACTGGTTGCAAATGCAAACACCTTACTATCCTAGAACAATAATATTTGGCTCATTGATGTTTGGATATTTGAGAGGAACTCTTTCTTAACTTTGCAAACCGGCAGAAGTGATTCACCTTTAGGCTGCTTTCAGCTCAGCAGACTTCCAAGGCAGCTCAGCAGAGAATTAGGCTTATAAAAATCAGAGAATTTTAAATCATAATCTTGGTCAACGCTGGGCCAAGAGACTCACAGGGAGCCTACCATCATCAGCTTTGCTAGAAGAAAGAGATGCGAACAGAGATGCTACTGTGTCTTTTTTGCCATGTTACGAGGGAGGGAGCTAGCCCTCCCCTGCACGAGATCACGGCAGCGGAGAAAGCAGGATTAAATCCCTGAATAGTTTAATCTCAAAAGAAGCAGCTTCGCCGTCTGTTATCTTCTGCGTTCAGGATAAACAATAGAGCAATATTCTGACTTAATTGAGGCCACGGGACGAGACTTAATGGCCCTGGATGAAGTAGGTTAACCTATTTTAAACCAAAAATTCTATTTTAGTCTGAAATATTAAGCACATTATAAAACAGATTTTTAGTCCAAGATTATGGGGATGAAGTAGACTAAATTTAACCAGATTGGGCAAAGTCCTAGCGTCTGCATTCACACAAGTTAAACCTAATAGTTTTACACTCTTTCTTTCTTTTCTTTCTTTTCTTTCTTTCCTTTTTCTTTTTTCTTTCTTTCCTTTCTTTCTCCCTCCCTCCTTCCTTCCTTTCTTCCTTCCTTCCTTTCTTTCTTTCTTTCTCTGCCTCCCTTCCTTCCTTCCTTCCTTCCTTCCTTCCTTCCTTCCTTCCTTCCTTCCTTCCTTCCTTCCATGGTTGAATATACTATGTGAATCTAGAAAATGCCACACTTGCCATAACTAGATTAAGATGTTGTGTGAAACACAGCCATGGAAACTTTCTCTGGGAAGTTTCGGAGAGATTGGAATGATTAGATCTTGTTTTTTCCTACTCCGTTTCTTCCTCCCTCTGAACTGTGTCCAAGTAAATGTGACCAGATCTCTCTAATTTCCCTCCAAACAGTTCTATACATCTGCTCTTTCCTGGCAATCCGATTTTTTAAAAAGTGATTTTGGAGCACCCTTCAGCTAGAAAGGATCGCTTTCTAGCAGAGCCATGTGGATTTAGTAAGTGTACCAACACCATAGTGGGAAGCAAAGATCAGAATAACAAAATAACAGAGTTGGAAGGGACCCTGGAGGTCTTCTAGTCCAACCCCCTGCTCAAGCAGGAAACCACATACAATTTCAGACATGTGGCTGTCCAATCTCTTCTTTAAAACTTCCAGTGTTGGAGCATCCACAACTTTTGGAGGCAAGTTGTTCCACTGATGAACTGTTCTCACTCTCAGGAAATTTCTCCTAGTTCCAAGTTGCTTCTCTCCTTGATTAGTTTCCACCCATTGCTTCTTGTCCTGCCTTCAGGTGCTTTGAAGGATAGCTTGACTCCCACTTCTTTGTGGCAGCCCCTGAGATATTGGAAGACCGCTATCATGTTACCCCTAGTCCTTCTTTTCACTAGATTAGACACCCAATTCCTACAACTGCTCTTCATGTTTTAATCTCCAGCCCCGTAATCATCCTGGCTGCTCTTCTCTGCACCCTTTCCAGAGTGTTACCAGAGTTTCGTGACAACCAAAATCAGATGCAATATTCCAAGACATCCATTTTACCAAGGTCATTATAAAGTGGTAACTAACATTTCACAGGATACTACCACTTTACAACACCTTGGTAAGACGATGCTGCAGGATGAGTAGAGCAATTTCTTTCTTTTATGGCTCTTGTTGCCATGTTGCTCCATTCCAAAAGTATTGGAGCATCTTACAAAGAATACAAAAGGAACCACAAAGAATTAATAGAAGCAAAAAGAAAACCGCCCACCTTCTCATTCCCCCTCCCCATAAAACCTCTTAGTTCCAGTGGTTTTCCATCTTTCGTTTTGGATGGGGTTTAGTGTGGAATTGGGGAGCCTTCTGAACTCACAGCTCTAGCCTGAGGAGCAGGTGGCTGCCGTGTCCAAAAGGGCTTTTCCACAATGTTGTGCGGTGTGCCAGTTATGCCCCTTTCTGGATTAGGAGCAATACACATAGGCATGCGTGCTTTGGTTGCCTTTTCGGTAGATCACTGCAATAGGGTCTACATGCATCTCCCTTTGGAAAACATCCAGAGGCTACAATTGATCAGAATGGGCCAGAATTGATCCAGCAAACCATTTTATGTTTGTTTGTTTTTGCTTACAGATATTTTCTGGCATGCTAGAAACTGATCCATGCAAACCAGTGGTGGAATTCAAATTTTTTTTACTACCGGTTCTGTGGGTGTGGCTTGGTGGGTGTGGCAGTTGAAGGATACTGTAAAATCTCCAGTCAGAGGTGGTATTTGCCGGTTCTCCGAACTCCTCAAAATTTCCGCTACCAGTTCTCCAGAACTGGTCAGAACCTGTTGAATATCACCTCTGGTGAAAACAAGCGAAGCTCCATCTGTGGGATGCAGGCAGCACACAGAACCACTCTGGTCTGTGGAACAACCTCTCTCCATGGATCCTGTCCCTGGTGCCCAAAAGATTGGGGGGCTGCTGTCCTAGCCTATGGCACACTGAAAAAAAAAGTCGTAGCAGTCCACAATGGGCAGAGTGGAGATATATCAAACCTCAAGAATGTTTGCAAACAAGCAGGATTGAGTGGTTTTTCTGAACCATTGGGTAGCAGTCATGCCTCATTCTTGAAGAGGTCTTGAAGATGCTTCGTTCTTGAAGAGCTTTAATGAAAAAAACATAATAGCAGTCTTCCAATGGGGCTGACATGTAGCAATCTTCAAATATTTGAGGAGCTGCCACAAAGACATAAGACATAAGACATAAGAATTTATTTGTCATTACACTCGCAAGCGGGTGCAACGAAATGAGGTGCTCTTCCACAAGTAAAACTGGACAACACCATTGAAAGAAAAATAAAATTAAACACAACAGACCATACAATAATCTCTATACAATTTAAAAATGTAAATACCCCATTACTCTCAGCCATTAAATTCCACAAAAATCTTATGACCCTGCATTCAAAGAAGAGGGAGTCCATCTATCCTTCAAAGCACCTGAGGGCAGGACAAGAAGCAATGGATGGAAACTAATCAAGGAGAGAAGCAACTTAGAACTAAGGAGAAATTTCCTGACAGTGAGAACAATTAATCAGTGGAACAACTTGCCTTCAAAAGTTACGGTTGCTCCAATACTGGAGGTTTTTAAGAAGAGAGTGGACAACCATTTGTTTGAAATGGTTCAGGGTGTCCTTCTTGAGCAGAAGGTTAGACTAGAAACCTCCAGGGTCCCTTCCAACTTTATTATTCTGTTAAATCTAATATCCTAGGGGATGGATGGCAGCTTAAGGTCCTCCCCTCCACCTTTTAATTTTTAACTTATGTTATTGTTGTTTCTACCTAGCTGGTTTTAGTGATATATTGCATTTTTATATGGTATTTATGTTTTTAACTGTACACTGCCCAGACTGAGATGGGCAGTACCTAAATCTGACAAATAAATAAACCATGCAATCAAAGGTTTTCCCTTTTGCTACATACGTCATGACACACGTGAAGTTAGTATCACTTATTCTGAATGAGTATCTCTCTGGTGAGTTTCCATTAATTTTCATTAGAATCAGCTACCAAAGTAAACTTGCCTTGACAGGGCATTTTTCACATTTGGTCTTCAACTCCCAGAATACTTAGCAATGCTTGCTAGGGAATTCTGGGAGTTGGTACACACATCTTCAAGTTTCCAAATCTGAAAAACAGTAATTTTCATTATACGCTGAAAAGGGTGTCAAAAATATGTATTTGTGTGTGTGTATATGTATGTGTGTGTATGTGTATATATATATATATATATATATGTATGTGTATATATACATGGTCGGTAGGCCTCACCCTACTCGATCGCGTCAGGAACGAAGAAGTGCGTAGACGGTTCAACGTCGTGCCCATCCCCACGGTCATGAGGCAGTCCCGGCTACGATGGTTCGGCCACGTGAGCCGCGCCAAGGAAGAATCCATCATCAAATCTGTAATGAAGGTGACTGTCGGAGGAGCGAGACCGCGTGGTAGACCTAAACAACGCTGGATGGACACGATCAAGGCCGATCTAGAGATCGCGAAGGCAGACCCGACACACGTGGCAGACAGAGAGGTGTGGAAGCAGTACTCAAGGACATTAGCGGACCTCGCCCGAGCGCGAGACAAACGCTGAAGAAAAAGAAGAAGAAGAAGAAGAT